GAGTTTTAAGGTTTGTTTCTTTTTTGTTGGTTTTGCTACTCCTATTTGTGTATCATTTTTGGTAAATAAGTTTACCAAACGCTTTCTCTGACTCGGTGTCCGTGTTCTTGGGAGTGGGAAGAGTGGGGGAGAGTGCAGATTTTGTGCTGCGCCTAGGTTCCCCTAGACCTGGGCGTAACAGTAGCTTGACAATCATCAAATCCTAACAGCTTTTGTCTCTACTCACCGGAAGACCATGGTGCAGTTCTGCCAGTCAAATGGAAAGTAGTTGACGGTGATGGCACAAGCACTGCGGTAGATGGCGGGAGGCAGCCAGTACACGCAGCCGTTAGGAGACACCAGAGCGTTGCAGTACAGAGCCACCTCGAACTGTCCATCCATACTGCGCACAGGTTAGAACAGAGGGGAACTCACACACACATTGCTTCTACAGTGTGTTTTTCTTATGTATACAGGCAGAAGTAAACATTATAGCTGCACTTGATTAAAATACTTTTGACTAAATTAGTGTCTGGAGTATTACACTTCTCTGCCCACAGGAAGTGAGATACAAAAATGAACAACTAGGATGAAAAACAAACACTTACTCAATTTCCTTTCTTTGATTTCTTAAACATTGTCTTTCTACCCGTTAGCTCATTATGTACCAGCAGGTAAATATAGTCAATGCATTGCAATAACACATCTTTTTTAAAATCTGCCCCTTTAGTTTGTATGGCTGAGTTATGTAACTTTTAAATGACTGATTACAACAACAACATACCCACAAAATGTCCTTGGAATCAAAAGAAAGAAAAAGTCTTTATATTACTCTTTGTTTGCTTTCAAAGCTTTTAAACTCATTGTGATAAGTTACACATCAATGCTAACTACATCTAATAAGATAGTTCTTCTGAGCTGCAGTTGAAGTTTTAGTGACTGACCTGGGGAAATGTGCTTATTAAATGTGTGGCTGATCCATTGCTTGAGACAAATTGTTCACACTCACTTGTTCTCCAGTATGACTTCAGGCAGCCAGATGCTCTTGGAGGGCATCCGCAGCTCAGAGGTGATGTTTCCATAGAGCGCTGACCTGGGCGGTTGGTCCCATCTGAGCCTGTAGTCACACCATTGCTACAAACAGAGACACAGTGGGTTTGTAATCAGTGCAAAGCAGCTACAAAGAATCCAATGGGTGAGGTGTGAGTAAGGTTACCATTTCTATCCAGACGCTTGTTGTCAGGGCCTCCTCCTTTTCACTCTGAAGGAAGATAGGGTTAGTACATAGTGTTACCCATAATGCTCTAATAACCACGGGCACCAATCGAAAACACCAGACTGAACTTCACTCACCAGAGAGATGAGGTTAGTGAGAGTCATTTTGATGTCGACCTGAGTGATGTCCCCGCTGTTCTCCATCGGGCGGACGTTCTTGTTGTAGCCCTTCATCAAATCCTTGAAAAGATCCCCTTCAAGGTTGAGCGCTGATGCTGCAGGAACATATGAGGGACAAGTGATAGAAAAGGGACTAAATCAAAGAGTGCTCCATCCATTTTACATATTAGTCTCAGTTTGAAGCCTAATGAAAGAGTTGCTTAATGTCTCCTGTGGCTCTGGAGAGAGGTTTCCAAAGTTTGTCAAATAACCCTGATGATGTCTTATTATTGTCAGCAGGGTTATCTCAGTTTGGGCTTGACACATTGTGAACAAAACTGCTTAAAAACTAGATGTGTAAAGTTTGAGAGACATGATCAGTGGAGTGCTGTATAGGTAAGATCCTCCGTTGTTGGTGCTTGATCTATGCTACGGGCTAGAAGTCATGCTTGTGCTACATCAAATCTAACTACCGTTTTTTAACCTGCCTCTTATCAGTCTCCCTAATACACTTCAAGTATGTGCTGTATAACTTCGCTGATACAAAGCATCTCTCGGTACCACTGTATACTTGTATCAGCAAAGATAATACAGCAATCACCTGATATTCCCCTATGACGAGTATAAAACTGGAACCCGCATGAAGTCTACTACAATGAACTATAAAGCAGAGCAAACTCACACAGCATGAGTATGGTCCAACTTTGTTTACATGCCTTGCCAAATAATGAATTACAATTGGGTAACAATTTATATTTACATCAAAGGTACATCGTTGTGGTTTGATTCCTCACTGAACCTGGGGCAGTTTCGTGAAGAGTGACGCTTAGTGTACTGCAACCTCTGTAATTTGGCCGAGAGTTGAGTACTACTTTTTGTTGGTATTGAACATGCAAATATGATTAGTAGTAGGTGTGATGGAAACTCCTGAAGCAATGGAGACAGGACTCAGAGAGACACGTGGAGAGCAGGAACTTTGATAGCAAACACTGCTGGTTCGAGCAGAGAATTCACAAGACATGTCGTGTGCCACGAGTTGACACAGCGGTTGCCAAACCAATTCTGAAGAACTCTACCCCAGACCCATGTATTTAGCTAGTTCTGAGAGAATAATCAACAGCTGACACCAACAGGCAGGAACAGGGAGATAAAACACTGAGAGCACAGCAGCCCAAGGTTGTAGGCAAACTGGGTCGAAGGTGTGGGCCTAGGAAAATATGTCCCCAACAGTAGGAAGAGCAGTACTTGAACTGTTCCTTAATGTTAGAATTAACTTAATTTGATTACAGTTTGACGACACAATATTAAATGTAAACAACGTACCTTCATTAAGCATGTTACACCTTTCTGAGAAATTGATGTTGCACTTAATAACATACTTAAAATAATCTGGCTTTACAAATATAAACACAATGCAAATCCAGATAAACTAAGCAACAAGATGCTTCTCCTAAATCTGACAGCAGCCTACCTGTGGCAGAAATCATGAAGACCCTCACAAAGAGTGACAGGGAGAGTGGAGGTAATGAATCCATTAGTGTTTGTGATGCTCTGTCCGAGACAAAGCAATGATCACTAATCTGATACACACGCACACTACTCCATGGGCTTACTGGCACTCAAACTATGTGTGTGTCTGTGTCTAAATGTGTGTGTGTGTTTCCTAGCAGAAGTCAGGGCTGATGGGATTGGTGGAGGTTTAGAGGAATGGTTGGGGGTGGGTGGGGGAGTTGATGATTGTTAGGGTTAAATCCAAGAGTTTATTTCTAGGTCTGCATAGTCAGCTGTCACAATGCGTTCACACACAAACACACACCCACGACACGCACTTCAGGCATTGTACTTAGTGCTTGGCTGCCTACATTGTTAAGGTGCACCATAAAAAAAACACAAGTTGTAACTCTGTTTCTAGCACCTGGCTGTTGTCATTCAGACAACAAATGTACAAAGTAACTCATGGATACTGTGAGGGTACATTTACTACATCAGTGATCTATAAAGAAAACATAACGTTTTCCACCAGAAGCCTTGGTTCAATGTGTTTTCTGCAATGAACGGATCACAGACAATAGATTAGACGCATGCGTGTCTGCAAGCCAGAAAGTTAAAAATCAGTACAGAGGACAAGGCAACAGGTGATACATCTCTTCCTTTTACAGCTCTCCCTCTGTGATGAGTGGCCAGGCTCTGTTTCACTACAGTGTGTGTCTGCGTCACACAAATACTTGTTACTGGCATGATTTGCCACAATTCCCACACACACATAAAAACACCAGTTGATGTGTTGCAACAGGAGTATGTATGAGTGTTTACTCAGCTGTCCCACTTATTTCCCTGTATATCTCTCCTAGCATTTGGCAGAAAATGACCACAGATTAGTGGGCAAATATTAGTTGTGGAGGTACTTTGTTTTTGTTCAACTCATTTAGCCAATCATCACTGCTGACAAACTCTGAGCCTCGGGAACCACTTTGCCAGTTGGACAAAACTCAACACACAGCAAACACACGGGGCTGTCCACGCTTCAAAGGTGTCACTTCCTTAAGCAACAGTTGTCTTTACTTGAAATGCTCTGACTCATAACAGACAATAAGAGACTTTAAAGGTCAGCCTAGTTCTGCGTCCAGTTACAATTCCCCATCCGGGAAATAACGAGTGAAGACAGGGAGGAGGTGAGAGGGTGCTGGTCACTGGCAGCTGCAGTGTTGATGGGAAAGCTTACCCTTAAAGAGTCGGAGGATTGAGGTCAATCTTGGGTCACGACAGTAACCAATCAGCCGCGACACCTGTCTCTCAAGAGTGTGTTTGCATGTTAGCAAACTGCCGGACACAGAGGCAAGATACTGAAGGATTAGTAGCATTGCTGTCAGCTTATTTGAATATCTCACATCTAACGATCAACACTCAACATGCCATAGCAATAACAATTTTATTTATATATAGATTTATTTTTTACAAAAATACAAATGCTTTTCTTTGTACAAATAAATATAGTAAGAATCAGGTAAGAATACAAATAATATTTACAGTCTGTGTGCTTCACAAGAGGCTCAACCTTTGCAAAAGACAATATGAATAACTTATCACTTTGTACGGATTTATAAGTTAAACAACGCTGCGTCTCCGACCACATAAAAAAATCCTGTGGCATGATGGGTGGGCGACAGTGGGATTGATACATTCAAGGTTGTGTTTTCATTTAGAGCCAGGCTCTGAGAGAAGGAAAACAAATCAATGCTTTTCACAAAAGACAGAAGAAAGTTTGAGTGAGTGTGCGTTTATGTGCGTCTCTCTGTCCCATGACGAGGCTTTTCTGGTGCAAATAGGTCTCTGTGAGAGTCTTTGTGCTTTCATCGTCATCTCACACTTTGAGTGCGTCCAGTGCTACAGAGATTATCCTTGGCACACTGCGGTAAAAGGACTCGTTCTCTAGGCCCACAAGACTGTAGAAGGTCAAAGGTCGTCCGCCCACTACTGCTCTGACCCGCGCCTGATAAAGTCCTCGATCATTCTTGGAGCTCAGATCAACTAACACCTGAACAAAAAAGAGAGAGAGAGAAAAAAGGCGTACATTAGACACAATTCTCTTTATCAATTGCTTATTCACTTCTGTCAACTTCTCAATCTTAAATTATAGTTCACCTCTTGGAAGCTCATGCGGAGGTTTTTGCTCGGGATGCTCAAGACCCAGCTGTAGGAGTCTCTGACCTGGCTGACCTGCTGTGAGGTCTCTCTGACTCCAGGGCAAACTGCAGGAACAAACAAAAACATTTGATTTGAGAAAAACATCAACTTTCCTCGAACAAATATTACACACATTGTTTTGTGAAGGTATTTAATGGAAGTCAGAACAAAGTGTGGTACATACTTTTCCCACTGGCCCCAGGTGTCTGCCTCTTCCGAAGGAGGCTCCGGTATATTCTGTGCAGACTTCGAGTCTTTACTGCTTGCACAGCTTGTCTAGGGTCAGCGGTGGTCTCTGAGCGAGGAGCCCCCTCAGTGACCACAGACGTTGACTGCATAGGAAGCGGTAACGCTGAAGATTTCATTTCTGTTCCGTCTCCATTCTCAACAAAAGTAAAATCCTCCGACGTGACGCTCCAGTTTACATCAGAAGAAGAGTCTCTATCTGGCAATGTTACACTTAGTGACTCATCTTCTGTCACTCCTTCATCTTGTGTCCTTACTTTCTGAATCTCACTCATCAGGGCTGTTAAAAGAGACCAAGGTTTCTGGGGTTCCTGTGAGGATGAGGATGAGGAGGATGCTCCCGTGGAAGAAGACGTTGAATGGGGACTGTTGGGAGACTCCTCCTGGAGGTACACTGTGTCCATGGACAGGATGGGAGGAGCAGCTCTGGATTCCAATTTTGAGCGCAGGGCTGAGATAAAAGATTGAAATTCTGCCTCCAGCCGATGTACCGAGGAATCCTCTGTCTGGAGAGGACGAGTAAAAATAGAGATAGATATTAGGTGAAGCTTCATTAATCCCAAAAATATAATTAATTTCCATGTCTAAATCAACAGCATCCTACATTCCCCCAATTGCCGTTGAAAGCAACTGTCAGCGTTGATTTTATCTAATTAATTCCTCCCAGTTGAATCATCAAAAAATATATTGATATTTCAAAGATCTTTACTGAATCAATAAACATATAATGAACCTCTTTACTGATTCAGATGATTCTATAAAAGATTGTATATAAGGATAACTGAATATTTGAAAAATGTATGAAATGTTTATAGATTTTCTTTGACATTGAACACTTTTATTGAGGTTCCCGAATGAAGCTTTGAGTGTCAAAACAAATGAAATTCTACAAAAGTATAACACTAATAATATAGCTGTATCTTTAACGACAATTACGCAGAACTACCAGGTTTTATATATTTTTAACAAACAGACAGAAATGTTGCCTGTAATATACCTGTAAGAAAAGGTTGTGCTCTTGTCTTTTTGGCGTGGAGGTGTCTGTTGATTTGTCATTTTGTTGTTTGTCCAGATCCTCAGCAATATTTCTCAGATATTTCTCCCAGTCGTCCACTGAGGGTCCCACCTCTCTGAATAAGGATGGAGGAACTGGAGAGGGACCCTGCTGTGTAGGCACCATAGCTCCACCTAGCTGTTCTGCAAGTAATAAAAACCATGTTAGAAACCTGACTTCAAAACCCAATGTCTTATTATATCAATGCACCTAAAGAGACATTTGTACAGTTGTATATGCATGGCTTCCTGTAAGTTATTTATAGATTTTATTCTCAGATAAAATGGAATAAGACAATCTAAAAATGAAGTACCTTTAATCTGTATGAGACGGGGGCTCAGGGCCAGGTCCCTTCGTTCTCTGGTGTGAATGAAGGCGGTGCTGTAGATGTGCTCCACCAGCTGAGGAAGAGTCTGGGTGAAGAAGGTCAAGTCCACTTTGTCCCGGATGTAGTCCTCTGCCCTCTGGAGCAAGTCTAGCAGGGTTTGTATGAATGAACGCAACTCTGGATGACAGAGAGAGAACAGATAAGAAAACTCAAAATCTGAGGAACATAAATAATAAGTGGTCTGCCTATTGTTTATTCTTCATCCATCAAGCTGAGATTTTAAATTAGAGCACTTACGACATTTCTTAAAGCGGGTGAGGCACTTGTCCTCTGCCATCCGGCTGCAGGCGCTGGCTGACTGACCGGGGGGGCAGGTCAGGGTGTAGAAACGACAGATGGAGCTGAACTCCGACCGCTGTTCCTCCTCCGTCATTTCTGTTGTCTTCAGAAGCTCCTGGCAGGTCGGCTCCCTGCTTCCAAAGGACTCTAAAATAATGCAAACAGATTGTAGTATTGTAGATTAATTACATATTTTAATATTTAGATATCAGCTGTTTTAGCTTCTGTGGTGTTTTATAGTTGCATGAAACTCACTGTGTATCTCAGCCTGAATCCAGTCAGAGAAGGCAGACACCCGAGTGTAGACTCCAGGCTTGCCCTTCTCCCCACAGCCGTCTCCCCAGGAGGTAATGCCGAAGAGCTGGAACCGACCTGAGATTCGGTCCTGGTAGATCAAGGGGCCTCCAGAATCACCCTAAAGATGACAGAAAACCCCAAAACGTTATAGAAAATGATGGGTGTTGCTGAAACATATCAACAAACTAAAGGGTATCAATACCTATGCACTGTTTTAAAGGTGTGTCAGTAGTTAAAGGGAACCCCCAACTATAACCTGAGAGATCAGATAAGAAATGTTGTTCTGCCCACCTGACATGAGTCTATTCCTCCGGAGAGATAGCCAGCACACAGCATGGTATTTGTGACCAGTTCTTTGCCAAGGGCGCTCTTACAGGTGCTCTGAGGCAGCAGAGGCACCTTGGCCTCCATCACCACGTCAGCAGATGGACCATCTGTAGAGAAACACACAGAAATGTTATATGTTAACTATTGATAGGTTTCAATATACAACAGCACTTTTAAGAAACCAAAACATCTTTTAAACAAAAAACTAAGCTATAAATATCATGAACTTCCAGGTAAATGATGGCCTTACTCACCCTCAAAGAGGGAGCCCCAGCCTGCCACCAGACACGGACTGCCAGTAGGGGGCTCCATGCCGGAGGGGAGACACACCGGGGTCACACGACCAGACAGGACGACTGGGGAAGCCAGCTCCACTAGGGCTATATCGTTGTTAAATGTCTTTGGATTGAACTGTGGGAGGTGAAGAAAGATTGATTGATTGAAGAAATGAAAGAATGACTGATCTGGTTGTTGAACCAGGGAGGTGTAATGGGAGAGGTAATACTCTATTATGCCTCTAATGCATCTTCACCTCGGATAGTTACCTTAGGATGAGGGATGATGCGGTTCACTTTGAGAACCTGCTCATCAGGGTCCGTCTTTGTGATGTCAAACTCCCCCACCACTGCAGTCCAGTAGCTCTCACTCCGGCTGCTAAAGAGGTCAAAACAATAAGAGAACGTTGGAATGAGTGAGTGATAAACACTATGATAAACACTATGATAAACTCCAATCAAAGATCTTATTATAGTTGCAGAGAAACAGTGATGCACACTCACCCAGCAAAACAGTGAGCTGCAGTGACCACCCAGGAGCTGTCCACCAGCACCCCCCCACACATCAGGCCACCATCTAGCTGGAGGTTGACCAGCCAGGGCCAGCTGCCTGGAGGAGCCGGTGAGCCCCCCACGATCCGGGAGCGAGGCTGTGTGATGTTCTGCACCGCGGACGACCTCTGACCACACACTGCTGCTGGGACAGAGACACAGAGGGTCACAAACTGAAGAAACATCAGTTATATTTTTGTATTTATTTGTTTAACTTATTCTTTATTATTTATTTCTCATATTCCCCTTTACATCCAATAGTATTTCAATTTAGATGAACAATTTCTTTAACAAGGGGTCACAACATGTATAAGGTCTCAAATCCCCCAAAACATCAACATGAGAATATGAAAAACAAATGTGTAGAAGTCAAATCAATAGTAACACTGACAACGTAAATAACACAGGTAGGCCTATAGCAAAAATAAAATAAAATAAAAGATGGGTTATAGACACTGTAAAGTCAATAATACAGTCCAATACACTTAGGAAAAATATCCATATACCAGGACATTTCAAAATAATATGGCTTCATTTGAAAGAAGCCATATTATTATTTTGGAGTGTCACACAGTCCAGTTCCTTTTTTATCCAGCCTTTGTAATACTTCCATTATTATTATTATTATTATTATTATTATTATTATTATTATTATTATTATTATTATTATTATTATTATTATTATGTTTCCTCCACCAATGGCGTCCATCTTTCTTTAACATTTTTAATTTTCCCTCTAAAAAAAATTCATTGTATACATATTTCTTAGAATTGTCAGCCATTAAGCATCGGTGGGGGGATCTTTTTTAAGCCATTTTATTGTAATTGTTTTCTTCGCCGCTGTTAGTAATATTTGTAAGAAAAATCTGCTTTTTATAAAGAAACATTGAATCACTTTGCAAATAAGCCTCACACTTTTCACAGACAAAGATCATCTGTATGAAGACATGACTGATGTATCCCCTCACCCTGTGCATGCGTCTGTGTGGCAGGTTCCAGGTTCTGCATGGTGTTCAGCAGGCTGCACTGGAGCACCCGAGCGCTGCAGCTCTCCCCCATGATCCTGATGCAGCTCTCTTTGTCCAGTTCACCAGCTGGGCAGCGATGCTGGTAGTATGCACAGGCCTGACTAAGAGCCCAACTCCGCTCAGCTTCATCTTGAAGCTTCTGCGCCTTACTGATGACATCACAGCTGGGCTCTGAAAGGGCATTGGCAGGAGACGCTGTTGGGGCGAGAAGGAGAGTTTACTAAGAAAGCATTCATTGGTTCAACATGGCTCAAGATGCTCACTGATTATAAGTGGAAGAAAGAGTCCTATTTGACTTACAACAGGAGCCAGACAGCTGTCCACAGTCCTGAAACAAACAGGGAACACAGCCTCGGCAGCCTGCTTCCGCCCGACTTCTCTCAGATGATGCACGGTCCAGAGTGGACAGGGCACTAGTCATGGCCGCCTCGAGAACCACAGTGCCTCGATCAGAGAGTGCTGCAGGAGAGGAAAGGGAGACACAGAAAAGAAAGAACAACATGTGAGACAAGCTGGCGGGAAGGAAGCGAAGTACGGCAAGACAGAGAAGAAGACAGGAGCCAGACTCATGTGTTGGTCAGGCTGATATGCCAATATATATATTATGTTATCAGCTTATATGTTGGCCAAGTGACAAGTAGTTACAGTAAAATGGCAAAGAAACATTTGCGGTAATGCCTCAATTAAAGCAGTTCTGCACATTATCAGTTTAATGACTGTTTATCAAAACATATTTAAAAACGTTTTATGAAAAATAATTGTTTAAAAAAGAACGAGATCAACAGGCTAATTGCATAATGGACTGATACTACTTTCATACTTTTTTGTTGATAAATGCATGTTCATTGACTGAATTCTGACAAAATAGGAAGGACAACTTAATCGTTAACTGCAGACCAGCGTTTTCTGTGGGAACATTATGAGTCCACATCCGTTATGTGAGCATCAGTATTAACTGGTGGCACTTTCTGGTATGTGTGCGAGGACCCCCCTTTCTCTCATGCTGCTCTTTCAGCTCATTGGCAGCGTGTTAGGGAAGCTAGCTCACGCTCAGCGCGCTGGTGAGGATTCAGCAGACTCAACATCAATCGGGCCGCCGACCCTGCAGCCCCCCTCTGTGCCGCACCACATCACAGGATAGGCTACTAACAACAACAATGCTGATTGAAGACTTAATTAGAAGGCCAGGGCTGAGCTGGCAGAGGCTGGCGAGCAGGGGCAGACCCTAGGGGTGGCTGGGACCCTGAGTCCCTTGTTCTAAACACTCTAAACACACAGTGCCATCACCAGCCGTTTGTATGAAGGCTCTGCTGTACTCAGCACTTCAACCAGGGAAGGCCAGGGGTCCCCCACCAATGTGCTTTACTGCAGGATTTAAGTATTCATGCATAAAGCCTGACTGAAAAAGTGCCGAATGAGATACACTTATAAATGTATAAAGACATACAAATACAGCTGATGATATTTCTGATCCTTGCAGCTTGAAGACAGTTTTTATGTGTATAAATACATAGTCTACTCAAATGTGTTGCATTACTTCTTTAGGGTTACTAGGGTTAGCCACCTGCTGCTCCTCAGAAAAACACTAAACCGTGAAAGATTGTTAAATAATGTCAGCAATAATTCAATTTAAATAACAGAGAAGGCCTATAGCAAAACACAACATTCATTGATATATGTTGTGCCTCTTTGTACATCCTGTATGTCAGCTGTAGTATTAAGCTATGTTATAGATATTGTTAGCATCACCAAGTTTTGCCTGCTTTACTCCCAGAGAGATACAACGCTTTTGAAGCATCACTAGTGTTTAATTTGCGGGGCTCTCAACCTTATGCATTAATACAAATGGATCTGTCTATGGCATATATCCTACATAGCAATTGTTGATTAGTTATTTGCAGCCCTCAGGAGGTGTGAAACTGCTTAAATGCCAGATATCTATACTATAATCCCTTACAGGTCATGTTGTCACTACCTTTAAAATATACTGCAACATGAGAAATACCTTACCTTTGAGAGCGCTCTGAGGCATCCTGTAGACCTCTCGACCTGCCGGGGCTCCCAGCAAACAGTGGAGTCCCATCAGCAGCAGAGATATGAGCAGCAGCATGGTGTCAGAGCATCAGACCTCCACTCCACAGCGACAACAAGCAGACAGGCAGGAGAGGACGCAGAGCTGGTGGAGGTGAGGCGAGCCTGCAGGGTTTCCAGGTCCTTATTGTGAGGTTTCTCTTTGAAATCCTTCTCTGTCTCCCTCCTCCTGACTCTTTGGACTCTCTCCCACACTGTGGTGCAGGGCATCTGTCTGTACGTTTACTTAGAGGAACAATAGGTGCCTGGAGTGGTCCCTGGTATATATAGAGTCCCCCAGGGGAACACCAGTAAGTGGGAGGGGGGACCGGACAGGAAAGAGAGGGAGAGGGAGAGGGAGGGAGGAGGGAGAGATGCTCCCATGGCCAATACACAAACAGATGAATTCATTAAGACTGTGACAGCAAATCGGGTGCAACTTGCCAAGGCTGGACATTACAAAGAGGTTTGGTTCTATGAAAAGAGACAGAGGGAGGGAGAGAGAGAGAGAGATGCAGATAGGGAGGGGGGAGAGAAAGGGAAGGCAGAGTGATTGGCTGGGCGGCAGGAAAGGGGGTGTTGTTTGAATTAATTAATGTGAGAGGAAGAGGGAGAAAGATATGCAGATAAAGATATGGGCTGATGTGACACTGGAGTGGAGGAATGTAGATCAAGAGAGAGAGAAGTCTGTGAGCGTCTGAAGTGAAGAGTCACAGGGAAAAGAGGGAGGTTGAGTGACAGAGTGTGAGAGAGCGGGAGAGAGGGTGAGGGAAGTGTCTGCCATTCTGTGTGCCGCTCAAAGAGGGCTTTGTCCCCGGCGTCCCTCTGAGGATGCCCACATCAAAGCCGTCCACCGGGCATCACTTGGCCGCCGCCTCCATTGATCACTTACAGTCCTTTACACCCCCCATTAAAATATTGTCAGTTCACATCACTTTTGTCTTTCTCTGCTGAACTCTGCTTTTGTTACATAAAGAAAAGATTACATATGAATATTATGTATTTTTAAGGTAAACACTTTCAATTTAGAGCCATTCAGTGTCAACGTTTTGGATTGTGTCTTGTCACTGCAACTGCTGGAACTCGAGTAAAACTGACGTACTGATTTTCAGACAAAATGTTAGAACTCATGACATGATGATATGTTTGTAAATCTTTCCATCTGAAAAAGACTATGTAACTGTAGCTTGTCATCTTTTTAAAGCTCAAACAATAACATTATGTGAAAAACATCTTCATCTATAATAACTTAAGAATTATGACAAAAAAAGCTTTTTTTAACAACAATTAAATTATTATTGTTAATGAATTACCAATGCCGAACCATAAGCCAGGATTCCTTATCATATAGGGGCCATTCTGCATTAAAGAATATTTTATGATTTTTTCATTCTAACACTGGTTTCAGAGGATGCAGGATGTGCCAGTACGTAGTCTGTCAGATATGCAAGTTTGTTTTGTCAGACAAACTTTGTCAATATAACTCTGTATATCAAAGTATATCCAATATAATAAGAAAACATTTCACTCTTCCACATCACAGAAGCAAGGCGTCATTTTCTTATTATTAGATTGTACTGTAGTTCACAGCATATAAGGGTTACAGTACACTTCCAGACTTTTGGATGGTTGAAATCTCTGCAGGGAGTGATCCAAATATAACACTGATACAAACAAAATGTTCTCTACATTCACAGGCATCACAGTGGAATGATCACAGTCTACATGCACACAGAAAGAAGTCTGTGCCGACCAGTCTCCCAATCGAGAAGCACAACTTGGAGCCAACTAACCGGCTGAACGACAAAAAGAGAAGCGGCCGAATCTAGCAGGGCATTATCAAAGAGAGCCGTGCACTGCTGCCACACCGACAGCATACAGTACGTGTTAGAGAGTGTGTGACTGAGTGTTGGTGTTTCACTCAAAGTTTGTGCTGCCAACACAAATGCTTTGCTGGTGAAACAGATGAGGAAGAAACAAAAACAAAAACAAGAGCAAGAAGAAATATGATGAGGAGTCAGAAGATGACATGTCTTCCTTTTGAAGCCGTGCTTTCAGACGTTAGTTAGTGTGTGTGTGTGTGTGTGTGTGTGTGTGTGTGTGTGTGTGTGTGTGTGTGTGTGTGTGTGTGTGTGTGTGTGTGTGTGTGTGTATGTTTTGTTGTGTGCATTGTGACCCAGCCCCCTCCATGCACCCGTGCGGCACAATGGCCCTGAGATCTGAGAGCAGGATCAGGCGGAGCGGAGCGGGAACGGCATGGGACAAACGGGCGGCACTCTTTCATTTCTTTGCCCCCTCAATCTGTTTGCCTTTGATGTCCTTTGATTAATTTGCCTTCTGCTCACTCTTCCTTCATCTATCCACCAAGCGTGGAGCATTCTGTCCTCCTTTCTCCTCCTCCGCCTGCCTGCCCTTATCCCCACCAACGGTGATGTTGTAACTTATCCAACGATAAAATACTTTGAATGATGTAAACGTGATGCGATCAAGTAATCTCTTATTTGATCAGATCTCTGTCAGTATATTTAGGCGGCAAACTGTACAGATACTGTTCTTTTGTTATTGATGACAGTGTTTGTGTTTTTTCTCCTGATTGGTTGGGTTTTCCATTGGTTGAGTTTTCCAAGGCACTTATCCTTAATAAAGCAGTCAGATACATCATGTACTCATGAGAGTGTCAATGGTAATGCCTCTACTCAGAACAAATGAGGTTGAAGCTGCTTTTAGTATTGCGCTGACAATATTAAAGGTGATAAACACAAGGCAGTTACATACGTATATACATATATCATATAAAGTGAGCTCATCTGCTGTGCTCTTGTGTCTTTAAATTATGATCACCTTTATAAAATGGTGGATACTCTCACATTACAACTATATTTCTGGTCTTTCCTCTTTTTTATTCAATTTTTACCTTTTCTTTGAAGGGTTCTATTTACAAATACCCTGCCCTACCTTAACTTAAAAGTAACATGAGCAAGCAGTAAGGAAGACATTGTGTTGCTCTCATTTGACCTACATTTTTCTGCGATCCACCTGTAACAAACAGCATAGGCGCGTTCACACTGGAGTACTTTTACCCCGTACTTTTCCCGTTTAGTTCCGTAAGTACCCCTTATGTTGCGTTCACACCAAAAAGAGTACTTAGTGCCAGGAACTTTTACCCCCATGTTTAGTGCCTGCTAGAGAGGTGGTACCAAAAAAGTACCAAAAAAGTACCAATTTCTATTGGCTGGGCGAATTGCAAACCACGCCCCGTAAAACAGCCGCCTTTGTATTTGCTGGCATTAGCATTATTAGCATT